TGGATTGGAATCTTGACAGATTTTCTCAGATTTCCTAATTCAAGGTTTTCAAAAAATATACGCTTTGGACAAAAAAGTGTATTGGAAAGAATTAGCTGATTTTTATATAACAATTCCCGGTAAAGACTCATTTTTGCAATAATTTTCATAATTTGTATAGAAATAATTAAAAAATTAGTTTTTCTGAATTCGGGCTCTACAGCGGAGTTCTCTATCATTTGCTTAGTAGGTATACCAAATTTTATAAAAAAATATTTAAAACTGAGAAAGAGAACCTTGAAGTCGTTTTAAGCCTGTTTCTAACCATGGATATCGCTCTTAACCAAATTGTGTTCAGTGCCCACACTGTCATGTGTTTTCTTTGCGTGTCTAGGAATTATTTGAGCTCAAACATTTTACATTAGAAAATGACATAACATGTAGTTGTCACAAGGCGACTGGAACCAATAATATTAAATGGGACCTTATGGTAAGTGATGCCTCGTTTGAAAGGCATTTAGAATACCTATTCAGTCATACTAATTATGTCTGGATTTACGGTGATTATGATGGATAAAATAAATTTTGAGTTTCGCTTTTAATTAATATAAATTTAAGAACCAGTTCTTACAATAATTGTTCCAAATCTTCTTCCTGGCAGTACAACATCCTATTAAACTCTTGTCGGACTCGTTCAAATGTGTCAGGGGAAATTGTCTTATATTCTTCAACAAGTAGTTTTTAAAACGTCAATACTGTCAGGAGCTGTAATGTAAACCTTAAATTTAAGGTATCCCCACAGAAAAAATCTAAAGGTGTAAAGCTGTCCATTCTATTGAACCGCGTCGTTCAATCCATCTACCAGGATATTCCTCATCTAGATAACGTCTTATTGCGAAGTAATAGTGTACAAGAGCACCATCTTGTATTGCGTTTTCTAACATGTCTAGATATACTTCACCGGTTAAGTTAGAATTTTAAAAAATAGGCTCGATTATATAGTTTCGCAAAATACCTTAATGTGATGGAAACTGTGTATGTTTTTTAACAAAACATTTGAGAATGTATGTCACTTCAATACCTCACATTTCGAGTATTTACATTTCTATTAAGAAAGATCGAACTTTCGTTGCTAAAAAAATTGCTTTTGGACAATTTTTGGGGACATATTTTCACAGAATTCCAGCCTTCGGTCGGGATAGTCATATAAAAGTTGACGCACCATTTTTAATTTGTATGGTTGAAATTTGTTTTTGATCAACACTATGAACTATGACTGACTTCACAGGTAAACGCAACTTGGACTGTGGAAGAAGTAGGGTTTACTACAATTTTTGCAACTATATCAGAGCTATTGGATTCATACATTTCAGATAGATTCTTTAGAGTAAAACAAGATGAAGCATACTCTGATTTGAAAGAAATTAAAGCAGGAGTACCACAGGGAAGCGTCCTGGGACCCACTTTGTATCTGTTATACACTTGTGACATACCCCAACTAGAACAAGACACAATAGCTACATTTGCAGATGATACTGCCATCCTAGCGATAGGCAAAGATCATGAAGAGGCTGCAAATAAACTACAAACATCAGTTAATAAAATAAATAAATGGACCAAAAGATGGCGTATTAAACTAAACGAAACCAAATCTGTTAATATTAATTTTACTAACAAAAATGGTCAAAGAATACCAATTAACATAAATAATGCTCAGGTCCCTTATGCTAACTCGGCAAAATATCTAGGTATTACATTAGATGTAAGACTTCGCTGGAAGGTCCATGTTAAAAAGAAAAGACAAAAGTTAGATATAAAATTCAAGAAAATGTACTGGTTACTTGGTAGGCATTCCAGCTTATCTACACATAACAAAATTCTATTACGTAAACAAGTTCTCAAACCAATTTGGACCTATGGCATTCAGCTCTGGGGTTGTGCCAGCTACAGTAATATTCTAATAATCCAGAGTTTCCAGAACAAAGTATTGAGGAACATTGTAGATGCTCCTTGGTACATTAGAAACAGCGACCTTCATCGAGACCTTCAGATGGACACTGTTGACCAGACTATCACCAGATTTGCTAGGAGTCACGAACAACGGCTCCACCAACATGTGAATGTTGAGGCGATCCAGCTTCTTGACAACACGAACCTGACAAGAAGACTCAAGAGAGTGAAACCTTTTGAGTTAGCCAAGTGATTGTATTAATAACAAAGCAAAGCATTTTGCGGATTAGTGTTACACGTTAGTTTAGTGTAATTAAGTTATCAGACCCTATGGTATACTAGCGAGTAGAACTTTTGTTTTTAAGATTGCAACTCTAGTTAAGTTAGGTTATAACAAAATTATTCATTGATCAACTCTTGATCAGATTGTAATATCAATAAACGCCCCTTTTGGAGTGTTTTTACACAAAAAAAACTATATCAGTTTGTTTATCAATACCAATATTTGATTGACCAGATCGTTTGACATCATGAGCACTACCTGTTTCTTGAAATTTATGAAGAGGCTCCCTCAAATAAGTCCTCCCCCAGTATAAGTAATAATACGGGACGACAGTTCATTGGTAATGAGGCTTCCATATTTTTCTGCGCATGTCCGTAAATAAGCGGCAAATACGTCAAACTGACATATGTAAATTGTCAATGGATTAATGATCGTTGATTGTTTTATTTATCTAATTGGTTGTAATAAACATTTTAATATATTTTTGTTATATTTAGACATAATTTTCATCTTTCATTTATTAATGTGATATTTTATTCAAACAGACAAAGGGAGAAGTGAGTTTGAAATTACCTTTTTCAGTGTAGAAATAAGCGGCAGAAACGTCAACTGTGAATAAAAATCTGACCACTCCGACATCAAAGGAGCCGACTCAAGCTGTCACTACTATAATATTAATTATACTGGGGTGTTACACTGCATGCAAATTGTTTCCACTTTCACCAATAATAGCTGTTACTTTGTCAGCTAGAGCATTTTATGTTTATTCACGATATAAGCACCTGTAAAAACGTTAGTTAAAAAAACGTCAACTTTTTTGACAATTAACCATAGGCGCACTTTTAAATCTTTATTAATTAAAATCAAAATTGACATTTTAGTGCTTATTCTTTTAACCATCAAAATCACCGTAAATCCAAACAAAATTATTATAACTGAATATACTGAATACCTTTCAAACGAGGTGTTACTTGCCATAAGGTTACCCACTATATTAGTTCTTTACTCTCCAAATTCCATTAATCTACGTATCATCGTTCAAAAGAAAAGCGTATGTATGTTAATGGTTTTCAGTATTGTAACTTTTAGATTTATATGTAAAATATTTTTTTATATGTAGGTATATTTTGATTCTTGATTAAATAAAAATCTATCTATAAATATACACAGGGCGTTAGTTCAATCACGTCAATATTTTACATTGAAATGGTATATTATGACTAGAAGTCAATCTAGGAATTTGAAAATTAATCTTATATAACAATTCAGAGCTATCAACTTTATTATTTAAGAGTTTATGTAAGTATAAAACAGAACCCTGCGTCATACGTTTTTCTAAGGAATCAAAATCAAAATTATTTAATGGAATATCGTAGTCCATACCTCTAATAGGATAAACTCCATCAATTATAAATTGTAAAAATTTGAGAACCCTCTTTTGAACCGTCTCAATCAATAGCATATACTGAAAATATATAGGGGACTCCAAATTAAAGATCCGTATTCTAATTTAGATATAACCAAGCTAAAGTAGAGAGATGTTAAAGTCGAAATATTTCTAAAGTTTCACAGTTTCTCCAAGTGAATCCATATGCACGGTAAGCTGAATGGCTATCAAAGATAATTCCAAGATCCCTGATATTTTCAGTACGTTCCAATATTACATTGTTAATCGAATATGGGTAGTGTATAATATTGGATTTGCGTGAAAAATTTATTACTTTACATTTATTAATATTCAAATATAATCTATTTTTGAGGCACCAATTTTCTAAATAAATCAGCTGATTCTGTAATACCACACAATCATATAAAGTAGAAATAAAAGCGTATAATTTGAAGTTATGAATATTAATTGGTTAGTATTAATTAATAAATAATAGAAAAAGCAAGATCCCTGAGAAACTCCACTAGCTGCTATCTAGATACTTGTGCAGAATCCGTTTGAGTTAACAAATTGCTTTCTTTGGTATAGATAAGATCTAAATAATGAAAGGTACATATCATTGAAGCCTAAGCAATGTAGCTTTTTAAGAAGTATTACATGACTGATTTTGTCGAAAATCTTTGAGAAATCAGTATACACCACATCAACCTTACCTCTTCTATCTAATGATTCACATAAGTATTGACTAAATGTCGCTAAGTTGCTTATTGTGGATCTCGAGTTCATGAATCCATGCTGGCGAATGGAAATAGTGTCTTTTACAGAGGTATATGCGGTTATACAAGATTGACTTTAAAACTTTCGTTGCGTTATTCAGAATAGACATGAGCCTATAATTGTTAATCACATTACGATTGTCAGACTTGTGTACAGGACACACTTTAGCTACTTTCCAGCTATCTGGAAAAGTTGACGTTTTTAAAATTAGGTTAAAAAGTGCCTTGAGGGAATAGATTAAAACACTAATATTGAAGGAGTTGCATTTTTAATCGCTTACTTTAAATTAAAAAAATTAAAATTAAAAAAATAAAAATTAAAAAATAAAAATTAAAAAAATTTAAATGTCGGCTAGGCTTAATAATTTTAATCCAATCAAGTATTATTGTCTTAGTATTAGAAACAAACTTGTCAAGTTTAATCATAAGAGTGACTGAAATATTAATGAAAAAATATATTTTTTAAACATTAAACTTAAAAACAACCCGTATCTCAAAAACAAAGCAATTTAGAGAACATGTTTATATGAAATTTACCTCCAGTATTGACAATATTTGTTTTTAAATATATCTTTTGGCAAAAACGAAATTAAATCGTACATAAGTAATAAAAAAATGTGCTTACCTGTAAAAACTATAAAAAAGAACACAATACTGACACTATTCATGTTGAAAGACTATAACAAAATATTCAAACCAGTGTGATATTTTCGAAATTCGATACTCTCCACCCTCTCGTTTGGATTGATAAAAAAGTGGCCGGCCTAATTTCTAACAGTGATTACGTGGAGAGCAATTTGTTATAACCAGCTGGCGATAGGTACGTCGTATCACCAAGAATTCGATCTATTTTAGCGCATTTCGGTATGTATTTTTAATAAAAAATATTGTAAAAATAAAGTGTGACACATAGTTTTAATCAGATTATTTTTTCCTATTGAAATCTGTATAAAAATCATTAGGTCCGTATTAACAAATAAGGTTGATGATGGGCTCAAAAAAACGAAACGTACTTAAAAAATAAATTATGCCCTATTGTAATGAAAAAAAATGCTTGCAAGAAAAGGAATAAAATGACATTTTTAGCATTTTAAAATAATATATTTTTTGCACATTTCTGTTAACTACGATTCCAAGAACTTTTGAAAATATTATTAAAACGGCCTTCACATATATAATTTTCAATTAAGAACTTTTGATCTAACATTACATTTTTATTCTCCAATAGGTTACAACTACGTAAGAAGAAAGTTTAACAAGACTTACATCTTACCAGCAGACCCAAAATATCAAAATCAAAACCAATTGATGGTTCTTCTGGTTGCCATAGTGAAATTCTCCTCGAAACTACTAAATGAAAAGTGACAGAGGCAACGAAGAATCCAAAAAAATCTTTTGCAAAACAAAAACAAGAATTTTTTTTTAAGAATCTAATTATTTGAAGATTTACCCTTAATAATGTTTGTTAACGTTTTAAGATTATGAAGTTCTATATGTATTTTCCTTTTTGATAACCTATGTTATGCACTCGAAATTGCTTATTCTCACCTCTTTTCATGTTGATTTCGTACCCACTTTTCTTATTTTTAGTTAAGTTTGCACTGTTTTTTATTTTTCATTTCCACAGCTTTAATTCTACTATACTGTATTGCTAGAATATACCGGGATCCATTTTTGTGATTTATACTATTTAATTTTAATCTAAGTGACCAACCTATTCTTATATTGTTCCTATGATAATAATTAAGCATTATTGTATTACAGGCCTGAAGATGTCCCTGTGAGGCCGAAACTAGTTGCTTCTGTATTTATTTATAATAAAATTGATGTACTGATTATGAGGTTTCATTTTTTAATTGAAAAAATTAGACCCTTACGGTGATTTTGTTTTATTTCCTGCATCGGGCACATATAAGATGGTATGGGTTTTAAAAACAGTAAAATTAGCGAAATTTTTAGTTTTTTTTACAATTAAAGTTTGAACAATGTGTGTTTTTACAGAGAAATGATACGCCACTGAACAAGAGGGTGTTGTTTATACCTTCCCCCTTGTGCCCGGTTCCTCACTTCCTCTACAGATGTTACGAACACAACAATCGCCAACAAACTCGTTTCACGCTACCTCAGTAGTAATTGCTCAGAGGCGTGTCAGAGTCACATGATAGGTTATAATATGGCAACACTTTGGGCTTTGTGGTTTGACAAAGATATCGGATAATAGATACGCCTTGTATACATTAAACTTGTCCGCAACTTTTTTTTGACGGTACGCTCTTCCTATGTTGTCAGATCTCTTTCATCAAATATCAGGCATTAAATTTTTATTTAAAAAGTTACTATTACCTTTAATACAATCTAATAAAAAAAGGAAATAAAGAATTGAAAGCATCAATATGAGTTTTTTTATTAATTGCAATCACTTAAGACTTTTAAGTAGCTATTTTTACATGTGTATCATATGGGAATATTAAACATTTTGGTATAAATCATTTAGCTTTGGCAACCTAAGACATTTTGCTGATGTTGTCAAAGTGACAGATCAAGTTTTATTGTGATTTTTGTGGTTTTTTGTAGTTTTCAAGAATAATTTAAACCCTGAACTTTTTATTAAGGACTTTTACGATGGGGAGGAAATGTATAGTGTGCCGAAATACGCAGATTAAGAATGTTATTCGGTCATTTCATAAATAAGATTATGTTAGCATAGACGTAGGCATATACAGGGAATAAGGCTTAATTTATTTAACAGTGTAAAGGCATTTAGCACTAGCATTGTTTATTTAAATAATAATGTTCTATATTTTCTGATCAGGTTTCCTAGAGAAATTATTCAACGTAGAATTTGGCTGCAAAATCTATGCTTGGTGGAGGAAAACATTATGAAAATGAAAGAAGCCTTAGTATATGTTCTGACCATTTTTGTATGGCAGATATTTATGAAAATTTAAGTGGTAGACACATCTTAAAACATAATGCTATACCTAACAAGTAAGTACAGTTTTTATTATGAGTATTTTTATTATATGTAAGCTATAAAATTATACAGTAATCATCACATTTTACAGAATTTTGGGAGAGGTAGTTGAATAGGCGAAAAATTAAGAAGAAAAAATACTTTTTTTTAGTGCAGTTCGTAACAGATGCTTCAATAACAATCTCACATGAAGATTGTTTCAAAATTGTTACAAAAAATTATTAATTCATAATGAAGTAAAGTCAAATAAAACTGCCAATGCAATTGCTTTAGTAGCCAAATTGCGTTAAATTTAAAATATTACGAATCAGACACTAAAGAAAATTTGGAATTTAAAAATGAGCTTCGTGACCATGATTATCTATCTATATATTTTCTGAGCGAATACATTCAAGATGTAGTTGCTTATATTTCTGGTTTTATAGTAAAATCCTTAAAGAAAAAGATTCACTGCAAACAGTGTTCTGCAATTGAATCAGTGAGTTCGAAAACCGTACAAGTCTCAAATTTGACATTTCAAAATAAGCCATTTCGTTTAAAATTTATCTCTTCATCGATGCGCTAGTTCAGTGATGATGTAATTATGGTTCCACTGACAATTAAAGTGACAGTAGATTTTTTGAGTGCGTTTCGTTCGTTTTGTTTACTTAAATTATATCGTTTTTTTTACTTTTATTAATATATTCCTAAAGTAAGTAAATAGCATGTATCAAATATACAATCGTTTAGTTACCAATTATATACCTTTAAACTATTTTTTATGACCTGTAAACAATATTTTGAAATAAAATAAAAACAGTAAAAACGTATATGTCAAATTTATTGATGTTTCTGTTAAAAGTTTGGTTAGAATTAAATGTCAGTGGAACCAAAATGACATCACACTGAACTAGCACATTGAGCTTAAAAACCGTACTAGACACCTAGCTGTTAATGTAGTACAGCTGATTATACCCGTGAAGCCGTGAAATAAGTTGAAAAACCGTACATATCTGCGACTCGTACGGTTTTTCATTTCAATAACAAAATAATGGTCACTTGCTATGGTCAGTTGGAAAAACACAAATACTGAAAATGATTACTGATATTGCATTTTTCCTCCTTTTTGAATAAATATAAAATAAATCTTTTCTCTTCGACAGACTTTCTGTCTCAACTGTCAAAGGTGCTACTTTCTGTTCTTAATACACAAATAGCTATTTTGTCTTTTATTCCAAAATATGCTTTATAAAATATGAGTTATCTTATAACACTAAATAAATCTATTGAGCAGATTCTTCACCAAGAGTGTTTGTAGGAGTAATCATTGATAGTAAAATGATATTCGAAATGTCACAAAAGAAGCTTCCTTTAGTGTTTTTTCTATTCGGACAAATTAGAAATAAAGTATCTCTTGATAATCTTAAGCTAATGTGTTTTAGCCTTGTCCAGATATTATAAAATCATTGCTAATTACTGTCCTAAATGAGTTATTATATCATCACACAAATAATTCTAAAAATAGGTGTCGTGACATGCAACCCAAATGGTATGTAATAGAAAGATCATATTTGTATATTTATGTATCTGAAATAAAATTATTCTGTTTTTAATAGCTTTTTATTTCATAAAAAAAGGTAGTCTGACAATATAATTATTTTTTTTTCGAACTGTAGAAAAGGTTTTCAAAGAGTACCCATGTAAATATAATAATAAATGGCTTTATATTTTTACTTGCTCTTTGCTCTTCATGTATTTAAAAAAAAATATATAATAAAATATTAACAAAAATGTTCTTCCACTTTGAGCTACCTACTATTTTAAACTATAAGAAAATATATAAAATGACTTTTTGAATGCCCTGTATAAATTGAATATGTTTTCTTTAAATTTACCTTTGATTCCGAAGACCCATAGGTTATTGATTTGGTCATTAAATAATTTTTACTAAAAATATATGTAAACCCTCCCGAAACACTACGTCAATGTGCGACGTACGATTCCCCTTTCCCCGTCTGGTAAAACATGCGGACAGAAGGTATATTGGGTATACAGTGTGTAGGGCGAGTCTATCTTAGATAATATGATGTCTATGTGGTTTGATAGTGTCAATGATATAGTTAAGTTAACAACACTTTAAGTTTCCAAAAAAAAGCAAACTTTATTTATTTAAAAAATATACAAAAATGGATCTTTAATTAACAATGTTTATCGTAAGTGATTAAAATAAAAAGAACGTTGATTCCCACGTTGACATGGTATTTATAATCTCGGGTTCATTGTCGCCAAGGTGCAAAGCGCTGACTTTGCTGACGAGGCACTCCGGGCATTGAACGGTGGGTTTCTATCACATTTCTCCTCCCTCCTTTGGTCCTGGCTTCGTCCTCGAAGTCTCTACGAGTAGCTCCTGAAGAACCTGGATTTGTGCTGGTTGTAGTTTGGGCCCAAAAAGAATTTTTGATATTCTTTTCTTTTTCTTTACTACGATAGTAAAAAGGATGGCTGAAACAGAAATTATAAGGACAAGGGCGACAGTGCTGAGTCCTGTTGAAATTTGTGGCATAAGTGCTATTGGCTCTATTGGTTGGAGTTGTCCGTGGCTTTCTGGAATATTCAATTTTTCAATTTTTAATTTATGTTCTGGAATTAGTCTAATTGGGATGACTTCTGGAATGGCGATTTCTTGAATAGTTTTCTTATCATAGTGAATTCCTTCTATGTCGATAGGTTCATCTGACAACAGGATGCTGCTTTTTCGGATTTCTTGTTGATTTATTATTATTGGGTGGACTATTCCCAATAAAATTACTTTTCGGGTTTCCTGTGAAAAGTTCT